AATTAAAAAGATATATACCTCAGTTTGAAAACAAGCAAAAAGATTTACAAGGAAAGGATGACGTGTAGCATTGGCGACTTCAAATATTCTCTTCTCTGAAAGTAAAGATTCTACTTCATCTCTCGCTATTATATCTCCTTTTTTCAACGCTTTTATTGCGAAGTATTCTCCTGTATTTCTATATTGCGATAGAATTACTTTTCCGAAATGACCGCGGCCAAGAACAGAGAGTAGTCTAAAATTATCTATGGTCATTCCAGTAAGTTGCGAATGTCTTCTAGATTCGTAGGCACTGTCTCTGTATTGAGAAGGCTTATTCGGCATTTCGTATACAACCTATAATTATTAAAACGTTCAGCTTGAAATATCGTGTTTATCATAAGATAATGACTGCACATTTATATTACTTATTTTTATATTAATTGATAGTATGAAAAGCTGTTATTTAATTATCATATATGTTGAATATTTGTTAATAATAATAATAATTTTAATCCAATACATACATTATTAATGTATTTTTTTTTAAAAATATGTTTTATATTTAATATTTTTCTATCTTAAGAGAAAAAAAAACCTAAAACTGTTGAATAATTAAGTATTGCGCCATTAATGGCCAAGATATAGATATATAACATACAAAGTACATAGTTATTTACAAGTTTAGTATTATAAAGCCTTGATACATAATATGCAAATACGATCATGCGAAAAAAATTGATTACATGCTTTTAATGAGAAAACCATTAAAATAATAAAAAATAAGTTACTTTAATAAACAAAATTACAATAACTTAAAAAAACAATTTTATATTCAATATGTTAGTAATAAAGAAGCATAAAAATTAAAATCACGTAAATAAATAAAGCTGTGTGTATTGGAGGTATATACCTCATCTTCAGGAAACTCGACGACAGGTTGGGGCGAGGGTGTGCGTGGAGAGGGTGGTGCAATCAGCACAGGACGAGGCTCTGTTACAAGAGGCCTCAAATTTGCCCCCTGAGGACCCCCCTTTTCTTCGTTGTGCAGGAAATCAAACTCCCTTAATGCACTCTGTAACTACATCACTATCTGCTTAGCTCTAAAAGCTACTTTAGATTGCAATATATTTCAAACTGTAACGTACCAAAGTCTTATGTAATAGAATTAAGATAGATATTACAAATTGATATTATAAATTTGAAAAAATAAATTGATTCAATTATTGAAGGGAGTTTGCTGCAAATTTGTTGAGGGGATACTATATATTGCACAATGCACATTACGCATTGCATATTGGTGCTAAACAATGTGGAAACGACTATGCATAAAAAAGCTAAGAATTAAAAATATAATATAAATTTAACGAAAAAGAAAAAAAAGAAAAAATGAATAAAAGATTTGTATATTTTAAGCATATAAAAAAAATTGCCTTTTATAAATCGCGTTCTACTATTAAAAAGATATATTATAATACTATTATAATATTATTATTATAATACTACTATATTAAAGATATATTTATAACTATCTTCGAAGCAATTGACAATATATCAAGTATTCTAACATGCCTTGACAAAATGTATAATACTATGTACAAATATTAGCCAATATAACGATTCAATTATCTATATATAATATATTGTATGTGTTCTACATGATTTTTACCCATAACCAGTGTACCAATCCCTAAACCTTTCAAGTAAAAGAAAATACTAGATAGTTTCAAAATACTTTATAACAAGATGGATAATTATGATATCGCTAAGAAGGTTCAATATAGTTCAATATAGTAAAACTTAATAGGAACTCTCTTCTATATAACACTTTGATAAATATAACAGAAAGAAAAAAAAAATTTAAAAGATAATATAAATCTCGTATGACTTACTTCTTGATCTATTTTTGGTGGTGGTGGAGGTGCGGGCATTGAAGGTTTTTTTGTAATTGTAGGTGGTGGAGGTGGTGGATGTTCTGGAGGACGTGGTAATGTAGGACTATTAGAAGTCGATAATCCTAATGGTCTAGCGCCTCCTAAGCCTCCTTTCTCCGGATCAGGTAACTCTCCGGGTGTTTCCGGTTTATCTTCTACCGAAGTATCAAAAACAAGTTGTAAAGGTTGTGGACCTACAAATAAAAATTTGTACAACGTTAAAATTTGTAAAGGAAACAATCAAGAATATATAATTGTACCTGATGGTGGGCTTTCAGAATTTCTTGAATTGTGCAATGAAGGAGCTGCCGATCGTTTCAAAAGTCTACCCCAAGTTGCAACATTGATGTTCATTTGATTAGCTCTTGGGAAATTTTTCACTTGTTGTTTAAAGATCTTGCGTTGACGTTGTAATTTAGGTTTTCTCGAAATCATAGGATTCAAGAATTTAATTTCCGCGAAAAGAAGACCTTGCGGTTCCAATTGCAGAGCCATTCCGTGTCTCACATCATCGATAAACTCTTCTAAACGTAAAAATTTTATAGCACAAAGAGATCTCCAATCTTTCCAATAAATGCCTATTTCAAGTTCTCTCGACTTATCTAGTTCAATGGAAAACCTACAAAAATGATGTAGGCATATATTTTGATATATTTATATAATCTCTTTAAAATGATAATATATAAAGATGATATCTCTCACAAAAATAATATTGTATACGATATAAAAAAATACCTTTGATCCCAAGCTTGTTGAGAGCATGGTCGCCAACTAGTCTGTCCTACTGTTTGGTTGTCCAGTTTAATAACTGCCATAATATCATCTGTAACATACAAGGAGAAATTAATTTTAACATTCAATTCCTAATTTTATAATATTATGAAATTCCTAAAAAAAAAAAAAAAAAAAAA